GGTCTACCCCTGAGCTACACCCCCAGCTGTAGAGGAATATTTCATTTCAATTAAAATTCAATAAAGTATAAATACAAGCTTGTGGAGTAATATTTACATCAACTATAGTAGCAGTAGTAATATATTTATTGATTTCATTTTTATTCCCCTCCTATGATGCAGAGGTAGATGTTTAGTGACTCTCATCTTTTAAAAATATTTTTAGGGAAAAAATTCTGCTATAAATTGTAATTTCTTTCTGTTTTCAAATGACATGAAATTTTAAATTAAAATGAAGAAAAAAGTGCTTTACAAGTGAATCGTTTCAATTCATTAAAATAATACTAACAAGGTAAGCTTGCACAGAAAAAATTCAAATAATTACTAACTATATGCTCAAGAAATTATATATGCAGGTAATATAATCATAGTGTGAAATCATGACAGTTGTGGTGTCTACTCCTGCCTAAGGCTGAGAAGTAGACTACAGTACCTCCAGTTATCCCAGTTTCCTATCTTTTAATAAATTGTTTCTGGTAAATACTAAGTATTGGCACCAAATACCTGTCCATGTACTTGCCCCAACCAGAGTAGCTTCACAGGGTAAAGCCTTCACTTTACCCAGGGGAATTTCTAAAAAGAACCTACCTGTAGATGTAAGGGGGACTACAATTGACATGAGAATCTCTTTTAACTCACCATAAGCATTTTTATTTGTTAACTACACACATAATATCAAGAGCCAGCCTTTCAACGGACAACACAGAATACCTATTCTTCAAGGGCCCCTCTGAATGTCCTCAGTATAGAATTGTCTGCCATTAAGTTGGTTTGTGATAATCCAAAAAGATAATCTAAGGCCAAAGTCCCCTCAAACTAGAGTACACATACCTTCAGGGGTATACAAAAACTTTTCAGGAGGGATCCAAACACAGTTTTAAAAGAATCAGTGTCTGGAACCTCAATATCTAATAGCACCCTTCCCTAAAATTAATGAGTCTGAAAAAGTCTCTGTATCCAAAACCACCCTTACCTTACTTAAAAGAGAGGTGCCTTACTCTTAAAGGAGAGGTGCCATCTAAACCTTACTATGTTACATTTCAAGTGGTAAGAGGTTTCACCCTCAGGCCAAACCAAATAGAAACCCTATTTAATGACTCTTTGAAGTGCCACAAACCTATAAAAGCTTCCTCTCTTTCCCTGTCATATACGTAGTTCTGTTACAGGTGAAATTTGGTGTTAGAAACTGAATGTAGTAGAATAGAGAATAATGCAAATTTTGACCTAACAACTTTGCTTCCTCTTCTCCCAACTATTACCAGAAAACACATGGATCTTTAGGGATAAAGCCTAGGAGGAATTCAAAGCAAAAGGAGCACTGGAAAGAAATATTGAATGCTAAAAATGGCTTTTTCATGTAGTTAAGGGTAAGCATTTTTCCAGCTATTCTCAACACTCATATTGAATCCTAAAAATGGCTTTTCTCTTGTAGTTAAGAGTAAGCATTTTTTCCAGCTATTCACTTCAAAATCACTTTAATAAGCCAAAGCTGTATAAGCTGGTACTGCTGCTTCTCGGAAATGTAACTGGAATATTTTCTGGAATTATCAAATTTTTAAAGATATACTGGAATAAATGTCTGAGTAAAACATTAGCATGATTTTTCCAGATTCCATATGCATTATTTAAAAAGTAAGTTTAAAACCTACTTTATAAATTCACATTATAAAATATTCCATTTACAGATAATTCTTATTCTATTTTATCTTCTAAAATGTTTATTTTCTGCTTCCTTATAATAAAAAATAAAATTACATACTCCCAGAGCAATTACTTTTAGTAGGTTTTTTCCTTTCCATCTTTAAATACATAGGAAAATTTTAATCATGATATCTAACAAAGATAATTATTTTTATTTTTATATTTGATTTTATGTAATTATTCCCCAAAACCAAACACTAGAATTTGCTACACATACATACCAATGATTAGAGAAGGAATAACATTACTTTTAAAAATTGTGTTTCTCTTCTTATTAATGCCATCTAATTTTATCTATAAATTACATTGTATCACTACAAATTAAGTACATTGATTTATTGTATTGTTTATAATTTATTAGATCTACATTATTTTAATCTTAACATTCTCTTTTATATAATCCATTCTATAATTATTTCTCAGTGGTTTTTATAAAGCCTCTTGAAATGCATTAATACATTTGATTTAAAAGGACATTTTCTTGGTTCCTAGTAGTTTTGAATGTAAGGACTAGTTTTGCCAATTAAGTTAGAAAATAAGCTCTGAATATTTAGTAAGCTAAAACTGTAGCCCCAAAGTTTTCCCTTTTAGTTTTGCTTTGAGACAGGGTCTCACTAAGTTGCTCAGGCTGGCCTGGAACTTGCAATCTACCTGTCTCAGCCTCCTGAATAGCTGGGATTATAGGCATGTGCCACCTCGCCTGACAGCCCCATTTTTTTTTTTTTTAGTAAATGATAAAATTGTTTCAAAAATTATTGGGCTGATGTACAAGGCCCTGGGTTCAATCTCGGCACACACACACACTGAACAATACTGGCTTGGTAATGGTGTAATGAAATTACCAATATTTCCATTCTCCCAGCCCTTTCTGCATGTATCTGGTTGAATAAGTTGCTTTCAAGTAAAAGAGTAATGGTTATAATTAAGAGTCATTTGATAAGTCTTGAATATAGCCTTTTGTTATTATTCCAAGAAAGAGAAAAGGCAAATGATTCTAATAGCTTTAACAATTCCTTTTGTGAGTAAGGTCATTTCCAATTCATTGCTTGCAACAAATTTGAAGGAGGTTCTTAGCAAATAGTCACTTGATAGATTACTTTGGGTGACAAAATAATAATAATAATAGTAATAATAATAAATTATTTTTGTGTTTTTTGGGCCAGTAACTCTGAAGGAATTCAAAGAATTGAGTGGCATCACTGTAACAAACTCATTCCATTCCCATATATACATTTGTGTGAACCAAATATTTCATTATATATATGTATAACAAGGAAAATAGGAATGAAATTTATGTTAAACACTGCCTCATTCTAGCAATAGTTATATTTATCCACAGGTACATTCACAAATAAGGAGATCCCACTCGTCTCATTAAGAGACACACTGCTGATCAAATTTATGTTCATTTTTAATAATTATTTATCAAAAGTTATATTGCAGTATTTTGGTTAGTTGTGTGCTAATTTATATACATAATTCTGTTTCAGAGAATATGATAGAGTAATCAAAAAAGATTTCAAGCACTAAAGCATCCCATTAGAAAAAAATTATAGGAGAGAAAAGAATGAATGTATAAATGTGAGGAGAAAAAAAAGACAATTTATAAAATATTTGAAAGTTCAAAAAGAGCTTGATATATTTTGTGGATGAATAAGGGTACATTTCAAAGTGTCATATGTTTTAAATGCCACTGGTACATGTAAGTGATTAGGTAATAATTTTGTTTTAAAATGTCAAAATTGGACTTCTATTTTCTTGCCTGGCATGTAAGGAGCTTAGACATTACCACTCCATTCTAATGACAAGTAAAAAGAAGAAGCAACTGAAAAATCAACAACTCTTCAAAGATTTGTCAGAGAAATGATGTCACAGGGTTGCCCCCAACATTGGAGAGACAGACAGATAAAGAGAATCACAATTTACTGGAGCAGAAACCCACCAGCAGAAATCTCTGAGGGATCCAGTGCTGGGAAGGAAAATTTAAACTGACAAATTGCTGGGGGCTCAGTGTGGACAAGTGTGAGTCTAAAACTCTAGGAGTACAGAAAACTTTCACTGTGATCCACACCAAACCATCTCCAAGGTTAAGTTGCCAAAATGAGCAAAACCTAAACATAGCAGAGGTTTCCCCAAGTTTCTGGTAGCCTAGGACCAGACTCCAGATGTTCATGCTCAATCAACAAAGTTTTCCACTCAGGACAATGGGAATAAAATAAGAGTTGGGTTTTCTACCCACTTTGGGTGTCCTCTGCATGACTTGTCCATTAACTGCTGCCTTTTACTTCTCTTCCTTCTGAAAGAACTCCATTCAATAGCCACATGATCACTACCCTTAGCAAAATATGCAGAATGGTTCCTCTTAAATATACAAAAAGCAGTTTTAAAACTTGCAGAAGATACCAAAATACTTAAAAAAATACAGTCTCTTACCAGCACTGTTTTTTTTTCTCACAGAAGTTTAAAGATTGATGGTAAAAAAAAATAAATAATAAATAAATAAATAAATAAAGGTGGGTGGTGTCATTTTATACAGTACCACAAAAACTGATCATAGTGAATGCAAATGCTACTTTCAGAAGCTACAGAAGTGAGAATGAAAGCCTGCTAGGCAGGTACTATCCCTTTTGCCCAAATTGAAATAGATAGGCCCTCTGGGGGAGAAAAATTTTGATCCACATTTAACCATTCTTCTTTCCATAAACTTTTGAAGTAAGTCAATCCCTTCATTATGAACCAAGATTACTTGGGTACATAAATCTCCATTTCTTTAACACACTGAACAAAAATTCAACTAATTAGGGCTATCTTAAGCCATTATTATTAGCACAATACTGTCCCAAATGCTATGGGTTGCACAAAGGAAATAGACAATGACTTTGTTTGCCCTTAATCATCCTAAACCTCTTTAGTTCTCCAAGATTTGAAATCAGAATAGTATTGCTTTTCTCTTAATCATGCCTCTGGATCATACCCCAAATTCCATTAGAAAGGCATTAATGGAAATTGTGAAGCAGCTACCCTTGGTGGTATTATTAATCTGTCTCTCTGAGGATCAATGGTACACAATCTCATGATATAATTCCCCTATGGTTTTTAAAATGTCATTTTAAATTTCAGGCAGTGAACAAGTGAGCCAGTACAGGGTGAATTGGAAGCATTAACAATGTCAGATTTTACTTATGGAATTCTGAAAGGGACCCTTTTCAGAGAGCATATTATAAAGGAGTTTTCTGGACATAGAAAAATGCAATTCTTACCTCCCACCAACAAGTAGCTGTTGGGAAACAGTGTTTTTGCTTGCATAAGTGCCCTTGCATGACCTGAGTGAAAGAGGTCAAATATTCCATCTGCATATACTCTGACAGGCCTGTCAACTGTGAAAGAAAGAAAACAGTGTTAACAGAACTGCAAGAATAAGGAATTCCAGTTACCTTCCATTAGGATAGTGCCATAAGAAAGTTTACCTAGTTAAGATGCAATCTCTCTGAACCATCAATTTCATATTGGTGCATGAAATTGATTTTAAATACAGGTTCTTCTAAAGACATCAAAGCAAAACAAAAACAAAATTAAGATCAAACGAGAACACACATTGTTAGCCAACAGGAAAGACAAACACAGAGCACTGGGGAGTTCTCCTGACTCAGAGTGAAATCTAGATGTCTGAGCCGGCATAGTCGGCTTGGCAGGAACATCAAGACATGAGTAACTGAGGAGCTCAATGGAAAGGACAAATGACTATGTCCTTGAGTCTGGCGGTCTTGAATGAAGATTGCAAATCCTGTTTCAAAGGCAAAGCTGTGCTGGAGTCTGTTCATACTGCTCAAACACTTTTCTTCCCAACTTCAAGTCTCATTGGTAATCTGAAGTGAGCCATGGTAAGGGTGTTTTCATTGTAGAAATTGGCAAATGCTATAAATCAGGGCTTATTTCCATCTGGGGGGCCAGTTGTTAAACATTTTCAATAATATCATTGCACAAAGTCACTCTCTAACCTCTTTCATATCATAGGAGATGGGGTCCCATGCCCCCAAAGGGAGGAGAGTCAGAAATAAGCATTGCATATAAGGATGGTGCTTGGAGATAAGCAATCAACACTATAGTCCTTCATGGTCCCACAGGATACTTGCTGCACCAGGCCAAAGACCTATTCCCTTCGAGTCAAAAGGGAGGGTTAGGGGGATAGGGTTCTATCAGTTTGGTGGATAAAGCAAGTCACACAATGGAAGGAAGGCGGGTATCACTCTATTATACCCCTATCCTGCTAGTTTGAAAGAAGCCTGTTACATTTGTTGAAAGTTTTATTTGTTTGCCAACTTTTACACCCTTCTCTACTTTCAACAAAGGAATTGGAAAATGAAAATCCAAGAAGATCCAAAAATAGATAACAGGAGAAAGAAGTAGTTTCTCATAACAAACTACTCTTGTCCCAAGCACATCTGTCACCTCTTCTCCATGGTTACATATGTCATAGGGACATTTTATTCTCTAAGAAGGAAAGAGATCTATGTGGTCACAACAGTGCTTTTCCCCCACCCTACTGCTCCATATTGGAGATGCAATCCAGGGCCTTGCACACACAAGACAAGTGCTCTATCACTGAGCTACCTCCAGTCCCACAATGGATTTTTTTTTAATTTTTAAAAATATTTATTTTTTAGTTGTAGTTGGACACAACACCTTTATTTTATTTATTTTTATGTGGTGCAGAGGATTGAACCCAGGACCTCGCATGTGCTAGGCACACACTCTACCACTGAGCCATAACCCCAGCCCCTCCACAATGGATTTTTTTAGATGTTGATGGACCTTTATTAGATTCATTTATTTATATGTGGTGCTTAGAATTGAACCCCGGGCCTCACACATGCTAGACAAGTGCTCTTACCAATGAGCCACAACTCCAGCCCCCACAATGGATTTTTTAAAAGAGAAATATGAGAAGCCAGATGCAGTGACATGCACCTGTAGTCCCAGCTACTTGAGAGGCTGAGGCAAGAGGATCACTTGAACCCAGGAGTTTGGGGCCAGCCTGTGCAACATAGCAAGACCCCATCTCACAAAAAAAAAAAAAAGAAAGAAAGAAAGAAAAAAAAGAAAAAAGAAAAAGAGGAACACGAGAACTTATTTCCCCTGACATTAACATTGTACCTATTAACCAACCTCTCACCCTTCTTCCACTTCCTACCCTCCCAAGTCTCTGGTTATCACTATTCTACTCACTAAAAATTTGATTTGATTATTACCCAATGTATACATGAATCAAAATATCACATTGAACTTCATAAGTATATATATAATTATGCTTAATAAGAAGATATAGAATATGAGGACTATCAATTAAATATGCTCAACAGAACACACACATTTATCTCTACCTCCTTCTCAAAACACCAAAACAAGTATAAAAAAGAGTTTAAAAGGTATCATTTTGTAGAGCTCGGTGGTACATGCCTGTCTACCAGCAACTCAGGAGGTTGAGGCAGGAAGATCACAAGTTTGAGGCCAGTCTCACAACTTAGTGATACCCTCAGCAACTTATTAAGACCCAGTCTTAAAATAAAAAAGGCTAGGAATGTAGCTCAGTGGTGGTGTGCTTGTCTAGCATGTGTGAGGCCCTTGGCTCCAACCCCAGTTTGGGCGGGGAAAAGGCATAATTTTCGCCAAGGTTAGAGAAAACAAGGAAGACAGTGACAGTGAATGAGAGATGTCAAAAACATTTTGTAAAGTCAGTTGTCAAGTGTTGAGTGCCTACAGGAAATAAGAATTAGGGGTGAGGTAGGAGGAGAAAGGTATTGCTGATTTTCTTTATAAACCTAAGAGTCTGACTTTTTAAAATACATGCATGTATTATGTTATAAACGAATTTTTATTATAATTAACACACTAATTGTACAAATTAATGGGATTCACTGTGATATTTCCATACATGCATACATTGTGCATTGATCATATCCATTCACCCTTTTACCTTCACCCTTTCTTTCCTCCCTACCCCTTTTCCAGCTCCTAGTATTCCTCTTCTACTTTCAGATTGTCTTTTTGTTTGCTTGTTTGTGAGGAAGCTTGTACTACTTGTATTTCTGTGAATGCTTTAAAAAGAAAGAAATCAATGGAAACTTCTATTGAATGATCTTTAGAACTTAGATTTCAAATAGTGATTATTTCTTGATGCAATTCCACCTCATTAATTTGGAAACAAATAAATGTTACATTAATAGATTCAGATGGTATAATGTTTCTGATAAATTTCTCTAATAGAATATCTAGAGACTTTATGTCAGATTAGGAACTGCAACTATTTTCAATTATACACTATTTTGAACAAACAGAATTGCCTTCACAGGATTATACTGTATTCTAAATAAGGCACAGTAAACAGAAAATGCTTCGAAATAACAAACTGTCTAATGAGGGATCCTTGGTTTCAATGCTCTTATTCAATTTGATTTCAATTGAGGAAAATTTGTTTTAAGATATAAACCCCATGGAAAAGCAGATGGCAGTTTTGTAGAACTTTTTGTTAATGATTCAGAGGTGATCAGGATAAATGAATTCAGGAAGCAAGGAAGAAAGAAAAGAAAGATGACATAATTACTGGGAAGAAGGACATTTAGTAAATTTGAGAGTATTTGCAGAGTTGATTTTGCAGTAAGCTCACTTTTAAAAATTGTAATGTGTCAGCAATTTCTAGACTGTGAGAAGCTCTACAAGACCAAAAACAACAACAAAAGAACCTGGTGTCTTTGTTTCTTCAAAAATTAAACTTCAAGGGATAAAAAGCAGAGGGGGAGGGGAGAGAAGGAAGGAGGACCTACAGATTGAAAGAAATTTAAAAGATATATTAATATCAGCTTATTGTAATGTGTGGACATTACTCTTGTTCACACACCATCCATCCTTCAGTTCAAAGCTTGAGCATGTTTTCACTGAGCTCCATGGTCATTGGCTGAGGGCCATGCCTCACAGTGATGGACAAAGCAGAGATTTGAGGTGAAAAGGACTCAAATTGGAATCCCAATTCTACCCAGTCAGGACATTTGACAACTTACTTTTCAGTTCTTCAATTCTCATTAGCCTCCTTTGTAGAAAGGACACAGTCATAAACATCTCACATGGTTTTTGTAAAGATTAAATGAGATACAGTATATCAGATGTATAGTAAGTTCTGCTTCCTTTTCTTTTTCCTCAGAAAAGTAAGGTCCTTTTCTGCTTGGACTTGAAGCTCATTATTTAACTTGAGGTCAAATCTGTTTTCTTCAAAACCACCTTGTTATGGTTTGGATCTTAAATGTCTCCCATAATCTCATATGTTGAAGACTTGGTCCCCAGCTAATGGCTCTATTGGGAGGTGGTGGAAACTTTAAGAAATGGGGCCCAGTTGGAGGAAGTTAGGTCATTAGAGGCGTGCCCTTGAAGGATATATTGGGACCTCAGCCCTTTCCTCTCACTTTTTCTTGTTTCCTGCCCATGATGATGTGAGCAACTTTGCTTTACCATATTCTCCCCATCACAATGTTCAGCCTTGTCATAGGCCTGAAACAACAGGGCCAAGTGATCATGCAGTGAAACCTCAGAAACTGTGAGTCAAAATAAAACTTTCCTCCTTTAAGTTGTTGAACTCAGTTGTTTTATGATAGTCACAGAAAGCTAATACACACCTGGACTTTCATTTGGCATACCTTGGATTTATTGCTGGGTCAGTTTTTCTCAATGTATTGTTTCCAGACCACCAACTTAAGAATTATCTGAGTTGTTTGTTAAAAATGTAGATGTCCAGGCTCCCTTCCTGATTTGAGGTTTTGGTGTGGGTAGGGAGCACAACAGGGATTCTGCTTCTCTAACAAGCTAACCAGGTGATTCTTGACACATTAAAGTCTGCTCTGTGTTACCTCCCTAAGCCTCTGGTTGCCCTTCTCAAAAGAAGCTCATGAAAAAGCTTACTCTGATCACCCTCTTCCTCACCTCACTCTTTTGAAGGCTATTCTTCAAGAAGAAGCAGAGTGTCATGGTTAAGAGGTCAAGCTCTAACACAAATAGGTTTGAAATCAAATCTCAACTTTACCACTTAGAAGTGGTTCTGCAGGTGTGCTCTGAAGAGTGGCAGTATCCCCAGGAACTTGTTAAAGCAGCAACTCTTGAGACCCACCCCAACCATCTGTGGTTCTTTTTTTTTTTTCTTTTTTGGTACCAGGGATTGAACTCAGGTGTGCTTACCACTGAGCAACACCCCCAGCTCTTTTTATTTTTTGAGACAGGAGCTCACTAAGTTGCTGAGGGCCTTGCTAAGTCACTGAGGGCATTGCTAAGTTGCTGAAGATGACTTTGAACTTGAAATTCTCCTGCCTCAGGCTTCAGAGCCTCTGATATTACAGGCATGCACCACTGGGCCTGGCAGCCATCTGTGTTTTTAACAAGCACTTCAGGTGATTCTGTTGCAGGCTCAAGTGTGAGAATCACTGCCACCTAAACTTATGCAGGTTCACAACTTCTCTAAGCCTTCATTTCCTCATCTGTGAAATACTAAAAGTACTAGCTGTGTAGAACTATGATAGTTAAACTGGGTATGGTGGCACATGCCTGCAATCCCAGGGGCTCAGGAGGCTGAGGCAGGAGGATCACAAATTCAAAGCCAGCCTCAGCAGAAGCAAGGCATTAAGCAACTCAGTGAGACCCTGTCTCTAAATAAAATACAAAAAAGGGCTGGGGACGTGGCTCAGTGGTTGAGTGCCCCTGAGTTCAATCCCCAGCACTCCCCCGAAATAAAGAAGTATGATAGTTAAATTGCATGATACATAAAAGACCTCAATGCATAGTAAGCATTTAATAAATATCCATTCTTATTGTTAAGCAAATAGTTCTTTGTCCCATGGATTCTTCTAAGTTTAGGTTGTTTGTTTTTGGCAAAGGAAGTAAAAACCATTGAGTTATGTCATCATAACTGGCTCAAAACTTATTTGCTCAACTAGTCTTATTTTTTACTCCATCCCAACCAACTTGAATTACACTCATTTATTCTCACACACCTCTCTATCTCTGTGCCTTCATTGTTTCTCTTCCATCCTTCTGAGAACACATTTTCCATTTCTGCCCACACAGTTCAAACCTTATTTCTCACAAAAGTATCAGCTCCATGTTGTTCCCTCCCTGACATCTTGCCTGACCACTCCAGGCCAAATGAATTTGCCCTTTTCTAAACTGTCAGTCATCATCTGTGTTGTAGGATTTAGCCCCTAAGCACATTGCAAGCATGCTACTTGTGGTTTTTATTTCATCTCTAATTGTCTTGTCTCTTTAATTATCATGAAAACCCTTGGGAAACAAATTATATTTATATTCTTTTTAAATCCCTTCACTATCCATTCTCTGGTACAGCCTTAAAAAATAATGAATGAATGAATAAACTTTTATTGCAGAGCCCAGTATTTTTAAGGCATGCTAAAAAGTTTTTTTTTTAAAAAATGCAGACTTTTAAGAATAGTAATAATTATATAGTAGTTTGGGTTCATAAAAGCCTTCATGGTTTAAAAAATGCTTTGGGCCAGGTTTGGTCTTATTTTCCCAGTTACTTGGGAGCCTGGAGTAGGAGGATTGCAAGTTGGAGGCCAGCCTCAGCAACTTAGTGAGACCCTGTCTCAAAATAAAAATAAAAAAATAAATAAATAAAAGGGGCTAAAGATGCAGCTCAGTGGTACAGCATGCATGGGTTCAATCCCCAGCACTGCAAAAAAAATGCTCTGGTATTTTTAACTGAATTTAGCTATCACAAAACCTTTGCAGAACAGGTATTATTGTCCCCATTTTGCACATGAGGAAACAGACTCATATCTCTCTCATGACTTGCCCATGGCTGTTGGACTATTAAATGACAGATTTGGGGCTTAAATTCCTGCATTAAGCTGCATCTTTTACCTGGATACTTTGGTTGGTGTAGGTTACCACTGCTAACATTCACCCTTCTTGCATTGTGCTATAATCTCTAAATTCAACTCTAATTGAAAGCAAGCAATGCTCAAATAATGATGGACCTTTATAAATACTTTAAATATCAAGGCAGAGCCCATTTGGGGAAAAAGAAGAACAGCCTCACCTGGTGTTCCTAAGCGAGCCTGAGCAATGGTCAGTTTTTCATGGGGTGCTTGGCACTGGCAGCTCGTTTCATCTGCAAATGGGGCAGGTGCAGTCAGGGTCTAGAAGGGAAAAAAGAAAACAAAGGGAATACAGTCTCACAAGTTTTCCTTCAGCACCATCTTCCCTGAAGTTTTATTCTTGTGGACTACACAGGTATGAATAAGAAGTAAAATATATCTGCTAAGCCTCTCAGAGAAATATTGTACTGCTAGAAATAAAGATGGTATTGTCATGATGCCCCCCACCCTTTTTTTTTTTTTTTTTTTTTACTGGTGCTTCAGAAATAATAGCTTTTCAGTGTCTACCATCTGCCAGGTACCAGATGAGCTACTCTGGATCTGTCATGCCTCTTAGGCTTCACAACACCCTACGATGGATGCACACTTTATACTATGCCTATTTCACAGAAAAGGCAACTGAGGCTCAGCAGGGTTAATAAAGATGCTAAGTCATGCCCCTGGAAAGGCCTAATGCCCAGCTTTGACCATCTCCCAAGCAATGAGGGCAGTCTTCAAACATTTAGACTCACCCACACCCGGGGTACTCGGCTGAAAGGAGCATCATACTCGGAAGCGTGGCACGACATCTCCTCTATTTCACACGCCAGCCTGGCCAATCATAAACTCTGACGTCTCTTCAGTGCAAAGACCAAGGCTGTTATCTGTGCTCTGGGAGGGCCTAAAAGCACAGCAATTCTGGCGGGCTGCAGATAACTGTTACTGTGGTAGCTTCGCCAGCCACCAATGGCTGGAGGCCCCGCCCCAGGCAGCTTAGGCTGGAGCTCTGGGGAACGCTGTGAGAAAGATGTAGTCACTTGGAAGCCTGCCCAGGAAGTGGCCCTGCATTTTTTAGTCAGCCTCTTAAAATGAAAATCTCACTCTCTCCAGACAGGGGAAGACAAAGCGGGCGGTGTTTTTGTAAACAGGGTAGATGCAATCCAGAGTTGTCTTTTTGTAGTGTTTGAACTATGTCATTATCACAGTCACCACTACATCATCTTTGGTAATTTTTAAGCTAAAGTTGACTAGTCACTGTAAACATTAGTCATAGTGCTGCATGAATAGTTTCTTAGAGATGGAGACAGGTGTTCTTTGACTTGGGAAGATTCAACTGAAGAAGGACCCATACATTTTTTTAAAAAAAAATTTTATGTTGCATGATAATTATAACTAATAGTGGGAATTCATTTTGACATATTCATACATGCACATAACATAATTTGATCAATTTCATTCCCCATTTCCTCCTCTTTCCCTCCCCTCCTTCCTCTACCTGATTCCCTTCCTCTATCTTACTGGTCTCCTTTCTGTTTACCCAAGATCTCATTTTTCCTTTTTTCTCATAGTTTCCACAAATGAGAGGAAGATCCATACGCTTGACAAGGAGCTGTAATTCACTTCTGCCATTCATTTATTCAATCAATCATTCATTCAAATACACATCAGGCACTGTCTTAGAATCTGAGGCTAGAAGTGGAGATAAGACCAGACCCTGCCCTTAAGAAGCCACTATTCTCTGCATTGACCAGAATGGATCCATGTCCTGGGCCCATTCCCTTCCACTATTGCAGTGACTTCCACCCTAAAAATGGGAGTCCTGCCCCAGATGTTGGGAGACCTCCCAGTTGCCTGAGACTTTCTTAACCCACACCCTCTTCTTCAGGGCTCTAAAGGCAAACCAAAACTTGGGACAAAGATTCAGAAAACTTGAATCCACTATTGGTTCTTTTTCAGATATATTAAGGTGACCTTGTGGATTGGAGCTGCATTTGTAATGTGACAAAGGGGTACAGTGACAAGAGCAGAAACTCTGTGCCATAAAACTGGGGTTCAAATCCCCTTTGCAGCACTCATGGGCTATGTGTTTTAATTTGGCTCTTCTGGTTAAAAGGAACTGGCACCCACTGCCAGGCGTGGTGGTGCATGCTTGTAATCCCAGCAGCTTGGGAGGCTAAGGCAGGAGGATCATTAGTTCAGAGCCAGCCTCAGCAAAAGTGAGGCACTAAGCAACTCCGTAAGACCCTGTCTCTAAATAAAATACAAAAAATAGGGCTGGGGATATGGCTCAGTGGCCAAGTACCCCTGAGTTCAATTCCCAGTATCTCCCTCCCCACAAGAAAAGGAACTAGCACCCACTAAAGTTAGATCAAGGGATGAAGGATTTATTTTAAGGTTGCTCTGGTGCAGAAACTATGGAAAAGGAAGAAAGGGGCAGAGTGTGGCCCCAGAGTACCAAGTGTTCTGTACCAACCTGGTTGTTCCCTGAACATGTTTCTTCCTACTCCATTTCCATTCACCCTATATGCTGCCACCACACCAAAGTGTTTGCCTGCCTTCTATTCCCCATAAATTTAGCTTAATGATGGCTTATCATGGCCTCTCAGTCTCCCTTCACAACACTCATTTATCAACTTCTGATTGTGCCTTTCAGCTTCAGCTCCTGTTACCAACTTACTGCTTCTTTCCATGTTTCCTGATTCAAATTCCTAAGGCAGGTTTGTGGGTAGAGCTCATTTGCCTAGCATGTGAAAGGCCCTGGATTCCATTCACACACACACACACACACACACACACACACACACACACACACACCACAAAGATCCTGAGGCAGTTCCTGAGTGGCCAAGCTCATCTTTTCACATCAGGCCATAACTAGGGTGAGCTGCAATTGGGTCAGGTAGCTATCCTGCAGACCAACAGCTGTGGCAAGGAAAGTCATAAGTGGCCTATTGTCACTTTAGCAGAAGCTTTAGATGGGACAAGACAAATATTTGACTTTGTGTGCTCTTAAAAGCAAGTTCAGGGCTGGGGATGTGGCTCAAGTGGTAGCGCGCTCGCCTGGCATGCGTGCGGCCCGGGTTCGATCCTCAGCACCACATACCAACAAAGATGTTGTGTCCGCCGATAACTAAAAAATAANTAACTAAAAAATAAATACTAAAATTCTCTCTCTCTCTCTCTCTCTCTCTCTCTCTCTCTCTCTCTCTCTCTCTCTCTCTAAAAAAAAAAAAAGCAAGTTCCTTAGTTTATTGAAACCTCAGCTTCATTTGTAAAATGGTTAAATATCTTCTAGGGTTATTGTGAAAAACAGATAATATGTGTAACATACTTGATACTCAGGAAATTGTAGCTATTATTATTGCTATCATTACTCATTCTTATATGTAATACTACATATTTTGATATAATAAAAGAGTGTAGTTATCCATAGAAATAAGCAAATTGACTTATGAATGGACTTTTAGGACATGACCTAAACAGGCAAATCAGTTGGCAAATGAAACTAGCTTACATTAAAGATGCATTACCCTTTATTATACATGGACAGTGAATCTTCTTCATATGATCTAAAATAAATTACTATTTGGAGATCTTTTACACTCTAGTCACAAAGTCTATTAAAGAGATAAGGTGTTGCCATTTTCCAAGAAAGGTGTAATCTAGAGGGTGTGAAATCTGATAATTAGAGCAGAGATAGATAAATTTGTAAAGCAACAATAGTTACTCAAAGGTGAGGAAACGGTTTATGTATACCATGCATTTTGGTCTTAATTATTGTGCCCTAGCAGTAGGAAAAAGGGGGAATTGAACTGAATAAACACTCAGGATTTTTAGAAAATTAGAATGGAGAGACCTCAAAAAGGAGATACTAAAATTCCTGATAATTTGAGAAGGGGAACCCAAACAATTAATAAAGAAATAAAAGCACTTCACCATATTTGTGCCTAGGCTTAGTGAAGCAGGTCAGGCGACTCACTGGATTCTTTGTCATTGATCATGTAGAATCTCACATGTAGTAACCAGCAAGCCTCAGCTTAGACTCTAAGTTACTCAGATCATGTTTAATTGATGCTAGCTAGATCTTTTGAGGATAACTAAATGGAGGGAAAAAATAAGGAAAAAAAAGAAACAGAATTGGTTCTGGGACAGTGATCTTCCAAAGTGAACGGTAGCCCCTTTAGAATGGGAGGAGGTATTAGTTTGAAAAGACATGTTCAATTTTCAATAATTTCATTTTGGAACAAAAGCCCTACTCTTCTCAACATGTGAATCATAGACACTAAGCCTCTGAACTACTGGGGATCATCAGAGGATAGATGATTCCCCCCTAGAGAGCCATATCCTAAATTAGAATTTGGGGAGGCACATGAAATTATTGCTAAGCAGAGGAGAGTGAGGATTTTAAGAAGCCCTGGCCCAGCAACCTGGACCTCACGTGTACAAAGACCTTGCAAGACCACAAACTTGGACACAGCCCATAATAAAACTTTTTTCTACATAATATGTTGCTCATTCATCATGCAAGTTCTGCTTTTGTAAATTGCACTATAGTGCTATACCAAAGCCATATTCCCTGCAGATTTTTTAAAAGGAAGGATATTATATGTTGGACATTTCATTTGTAGAGTCTCTTTAATTGGACATTGACAAATATTTCCTTAAAAGCTATGAAGTACTATATAAAATATACAATGCAAATATTACTTGAGTGCAAAAAATGGCTGGTAGAATCTGTACTTATGAAATGTGCATTATTGACTGAAGATAATTGGACTGATAAATTTTAGAACCAGAAATTGAGAGTTAAGAGAAAGATATTACAAAATCTCAACCCTCAATCTCATACTAGAGTTTGTTATTTACTCATCTCTGAACATAATTGCTAAGCCTGATATTACTTGGGATCAGAATGTTTTAATCTTTTTAGAAATAGAGAGGGAAGAAAAATAGGTCTCACAGTTTCCCATAGGTCTGACACACATGAATCACTGGATTATTTGTCATTGATTATGTAGAATCCCACATCAGACAGCTGGAACAAAGTGCTCACCAACACACTTCAATGGAGTGAAGGAAAAAGAGGCCCAGAACATGGCTCAACACCATGAATTTTCCATTTTTCGTTTTGTTAAGTGTGGTATGCACATGTAATTAGGTAATAGGCATCATTAAAATAGTAAGATAAGGCTGGGGTATAGCTCAGTAGTAGAGCACTTGCCTAGCATATAGTGGCCCTGGGTTCAATCCCGAGCACCTCAAAAACGAAAAAATGGTAAGAC